GTAGTTGCTCCATAGCATTTCTCATCACTTTCATTAGGCCAGCTAGTTTTGATTGGCTTGCCTCTATAAACAGTCACACAGATATTAAAAGGAGGGGCATTTACAACCAAAAAAAGAAGAAATACTTTTGTCACTAAAATCGAACTCAGTGCCAAGAATGAAACAGTCAGACAAGTTCTCTTGTACTCACAGCTCTGTTTGGCAAAAGCCCCATGAGTGACAGGTGTGAAGATACTGTCTCAGGGAACAGCTCCAAACTCCTTTTTTTTTTGACATTATTTCTCTCCAGTGAATACTTGTGTATTCATTCCTGAACTCTGGATGACATAAGTAATCCCACAATAAACATGAGGATCACATTATATCATTTCTGCTTCACTTCATTCACATTAAAATCAAAGTAGCATTAGAAGTGCCATGCTATGTTTTCTTAGCCTCACAAATAGACACTTGGCATATTAAGTAAGGAGATAACTTGCTTTGCCTTGATCAGCTGGAAATGTCAAAGCAGCTTTCCTTTTTATGTAGGCTAAACACATTCCAGTCCCAGCAAATCAACACATCAGAAGGTTTATTATCTTATTATCTAATTAACAAAAAATAGCACCTTCTGTGTCAGGAGTGAATTATGCAAGTGCCATTTCCCCCTTATTCATTACCAAAGCTTCTAGCTCACCGAGAGTCACTAAGCCTTTGCCCTTTTGAGTTCTTCCTTCACTAATTTTTATAAAACTACTCAGTTTAAACTGCATCACTAACAAGGCAAGAAAACGGTGCTCCCCTGTAAGGGCTTCGTCATGTGTCTAATGAGGCCTTCCATTGGCTTGATCTCACAGTCTCACAGCGCAGGTTACCCTTGCCATGTCTGCACCCTGGCCAGTGTAATTGCCTTTCTGTGTTCCTGAGAAGATGAAATATATCATTTCCACACTGTGCCTGAATTAAAGCGACAAGAGAATGTGAGAAATATAAAGAAATGTTATCTGCCACAAATCCAGACTGTCCAAAAACTTATCTAAAATTAAAAAGAGAAATTAGCTGGCCCTGTTAACGTGTCCATTACAGGAAGCAAATGACATATATTTTGAAGTAAGGTAAGTAATGGTTCTACATCACCTTCATTACTCTCAGGATGAAATGAGCAGCCCCACAGATTTGAACTGCAGGATTCCTCCCTGTATGCAGGAGAAGGGAGCGGGTTTTTTACTGATGAGCTACAGCTGGTTTACTGGATGTCCATCCATTCAGTGAGGTCGCACAGAGTAGTGGCTGCTCCTGGGAACAGGTGGCCCAATGCTTGGAAATCTGTGTGTGAATAAGGCAGCAAAACCATCCAAATTTTCTAGTGAAGCTTAAATACAACTGCATAGATATATGTAGTGCATACCTGATCATACTGTAATTGTAGATAAAACTGGAAGTCTTTTAATCATTCTTTTATTACCTTTCCTGGGTGAGTGACATGGCAAAACAACTACCATGAGCGTGAGGCAGTTGCTTAAGATGTGATCAGTGGTGCGCCA